CAGCAGGAAGCCTAAGGAACTAAAACAAGCAAAAAAATGTACCTTTTCAAGTAGAGGGACCATCGTCCATTGCTCTGGAGCTGATTTAGCTTTTGAACGCGTAGTTATGCCACCATTGGACTTAAACAAAAAAAAAAGTAAACTTTTTTTCAGGTGGCACGAGTATTAATTGAGAAAAACCAAATAGAAAGGTGTAGGCAAGACCTGAACTGGACGGCCCGGGACATTGACCTTCACAAGTTCAGGATGTCTGGTGGAAAGTAACAAAGCCAGAGCTGAAGAAGTGACTTTGATTTGATAAGCTCCTTGTATCTCCCCTGGAAAAAAATATTTTCAACCGACCATGAGTCAGAATAAATTTTATTTAATCCTATAAAGAAATGGAAAGCCTACAGTAGAAAACACGTTATAGTATGCCTCGCATAGATAAATAGATCTCTAAATGAAAAAACGCTTGCCTTGTTGTTTAGTCCATTCTGTCATAACATACACAAAGGAATTTTCATGGCCTTCACAAGGTACACTAACAAGTAGGTTGATGAATTGATCCACAGCAGGAAAACTCATATGGACCTGCCAAATCAATGAAGTGGGTCAAAAGACAGCGGTGAATTCCCACAAACTTTCCGGATATAGAATGCACCCTATAAAGTAGAGAAGACCCAGACAAGATAAACCATTCCATTGAAAGCTAAAGAAAAATACCAATCTAGCAAAAATCAGAAGCAAAGAGCTTCTCAACCCCATTATTTGAGCAGACTGCATCCTTCTTATGAGAGCAATAACAAGATCCCGGATATGTTGTGCCATCTCTGATGGAAAATGCAAGATAAGCTGCAGAATGTATTTCCCAGCGAAAAGAGATCCAGAACTTTCAAGATCAGGATTGAGAAGCCTGCATCAAGGCAGAGATTGAAAAGTAAAAAAAAAAATGCAGTTTCCAAGAACCATTGGTTGGACACAATTTAGGAGCCCCGGACACGAGATTTTTCTCAACACACTTTTTAATCGATTCATCTTATTGCAAATGAAATATAGCAAATGTAAGTGCATACATACAACATTGTATGTACTACTACTTACAAAGTGGAACATGAAAAATAAATATAAGCAGATAACAGTAAACTTTCATTGTTTGACAGAATTGGAAAAACAAAAAAGAGAAGTTAACCAAAGACATACCTTGAAGCTGCATCAAGCAAACTTCTTATTGCAAAACCACGATCACCACTCCATGTAAGTAACTCTTGTCTTCCACCAGAAACAAAAGTTGCCAGACATTCTGTTGCATTCTGATCAATTTAAAAGGCTACTGATGAATCACCTTTTATGGAGCTAAAATACTTTATACATAGAAATCAACGAGGCAAACAATGGTACAAACACAAATATATCACCTGTAGTTCAGTATGGTCATCACTTTGAAGGATAATACGGATTACAGCATCAAAACAGAAATCATATGCAGCTTTCACTACATCATTTGGGGAACCCTGAAATATATTAGGACAGAGATATGCCGACAATGAATCAGAAACACACCATAATAATGTTCAACCAGAACCTTGCCATATAACTTGCCTTAAGAAGCATAGTTAAAAGATCCAATGATCCGGCCACTAGTCCTTCAGGCTGCTGCTGAGGCTGATCACCACCACGGATATGTTATTAGAAGGGGATAGCAAAGAAGAGAACAAGGAAAAATGGCAATAACACCACTCAGAATCATTATCCAAAACCATACTTTATTTAAGATCGGTCCAATGTATGGTAAGATACGTGACGTCAATGGATGAAGGCAGCCAGGTGAATTCTTTATTGCCTGCATGAAAGTCATGATATGAGAGGTTAGATTCTTAGATAAAACCTATTTCATATTCATTTTGAATAATATGAGAGCTGGTATAAGATCAAAATATAGAAATAGAAGAAAGATGTTCGCCCAAGAATTGAGCTGAAACATAGGATGAAAATGCCAGTCAATTCCCATTATTTACCTCCAAGACCTCAATAACATCAATACTTATAAACGGATCAGAAACATGTGCCACCCACACATTAAGGATCACAGGGGAGATAATTGACTCGATTGAAGCTGATGCTTCATGGCCTACAGAAAAGGATAAAGAAATACATAAATAGGAGAGAAATATTAAAAAATATGTTACAAAATTTAAATACTTAGATTAGGAAAATTCATTTTCTACGGTCGTCTTTGGTCGCATTACCAGCCTTAATTGCTTGTTGAAGTGTTTCAAGCACTAGAATCAGGGTTTCATCTGAAGCCTAAAACATGCGAACCAAGAAAAATAATGTTAAACGATAAAATAGAAAGATCAATTCTAACAAAGCAACATAAGTAACATTTCACTATAAAAAAAATTATAACATTCACCTGATGTAGAAGTTCGGTGAGAGATGAAAATAAATTCATGATCTGAGGTAGAATAACTGCTCGGTTCATATCAGGTAGGAGCTGCAAAAGTGCCCGGCATGCACCTACTTTGACAGATGGTGGTCTGTTCGTAACAGTATATTGCTAAGAAAACATTTCCAATAATCACTAAGAATCATTGTGGAAGGGTAATAACATACATGTCCATGCTTATAGCTCTAATGGCAGCATTGAGAAAGTGCTCCAAAACTCCAGGGCTGGTCTGATCAACACATAAAGACTCACTCGAGTATGCTTGATAAAAAGATTATTTAGGAGAAGCAGAGAAAGCAGATTACCACAGCGGAGAACTTAGCGACTGCCGTAAAAATACGGGCGTAAAGAAAAGGACATTCATGAATCCCTGTTTAACAGAGGTTCAGGTCATGTTTTTTGTTTCTTTAAATGCCAGAAGACAAGGAGATGGAAGACAAGGTAAAACTATATGATCCTCACCGATTGCATTATCTTCCATTATCATTTGCTCGACAAGTTTAGCCAAATTGGCAGGGTTCATTCCAGGGCCCTAGAGAGAGAAACATATTTAGTGTAAAATGTTCCCAGCACAAGGGACATCATACAGTATACATGTTTGTTACAGAAACCACTAACCTCTGCTTCGACAAGCTGATCTGATAGAGAAGCCAAAACAAAGAGTGCTGCTTCTCTTATCTAATAAACGTAAGGCACAAACTCCATGAGAAATAATGGCTGGGAAATAACAGGTACAAGTAGAACAGTGTGCAAGCTTACCCTCCACCACGTTGAAGAACCAGCTGCCTTTTCTTGTTGAGATTCATGGAACCGTCTTCTGACAGCATCTACAACAGCATCAACTCCCTCCCTACCACAACAATTCACCACCTCCTCCAATAAAAGTATTCCTGTGTTGCGAAAGGTCATCTTTGTAAGCATGGCAGACAGAAAAATATCTTTAGAAACCAATGTACCCACCACATAGATGTCCGTGGAGTTACATTATGAGAAGAATGGCATCTGAATGCCATTTCTAACTTGATAATTTAAATATGAAATTGAATTATACTTGAGAACAGTACGAGACTGTACCAGAAATACGGCAGTTGTAGCTGCCATCATCTTCATCGGCCACAAATTGATTTACATCTGCGGACCATGTATGAACCTGAAGAGCAGCCCTAAATGAGAAAGAGAAAGACAGAAAAATCCTGCCCTTTGACAATGTGCAACATGTAAACCACATACGAAATCCATACATAGCTCACCTATTTCAGAGAGTTTTTTTTGTTTTTTGAAAACTGGGCATAATGACAAATGTGTCACATTCCCAGACAATAAGAATACATAAGAGTCTGAACTGGAATCTAAATTTTAACAATGTTCCCAAGTTTTGCAACTATTTTCCACAGATGAAACTAATACATGGCTAGAAAAGACATAGGAAGAATTAATAGAGCTATCAATCACAGAAAAAGGTTCCAGCAGTTAAAAGGAATTAACAGAGAGAGAGAGAGAGAGAGAGAGAGAGAGAGAGAGAGAGATATTTGCAAATGTTCTAACATTACAACTCTCCAAAATTGGCATCAACACTCGAACCAAAACAGTTTCAAAACTGTTGTAGCTATTGTGATACTAACATCATCATTGTTGCAATGACCTAGAAGATAGAAATATGAGAAGCAAGAGAGATCTGAACCTCAGACATAACAAACCAATTGCTCTACCAGATAACATGTCAACTAAACATGATGGGCTCGTTAATTTTTAACTAGACTGATTCAGATTATGTTAAAGCATTAAGAAAAACAAAAGCATAGCATCAAGGTGAGCTAAAGATTGTAACACATCAATACCTGTTGTTCTGTCATTTGAAGAAAAGCGATTGTGTAATATACCAATTGTCTGACATTATTTGAAACCACCTGAAAATTAAATAATTTGAGTAAAATGCTAGATCTGAACAAAACATGCACAGAACAAGAAGGTTCTAGCAGTACCTTTACCAGTCTTCTACTGCCAACAACTGTTGTCAGAAACTCCAATAGCTGCAGAAAGAAGATACATATACAAGAAATCCTCAGTCCAACTTAGTATTCATTAGAATATCACAATCTATGAGAAGACAGTTCTATACACAAACTGTTTTAACTCTCACAAAACCAATAAAGAACAGGGAATTGAGCTCTTGAGCATCCAAAAAGAAAACAAAAAGGATATTCATCCGCAAAATGATCTCATAAGACCTGAATGATGAAGGTGTCAAGACTCTTTTCTTCACCATCAGAGTCGTATCTACCATCATATGCATCTTCAGCACCTTCAATTGATGATCGAAGATAAACTCGTAGAGATGACTCAAACGTCTGCCACAGTGGCTTCGTAATAGCTGCAAGAACATGCTATTATAAATAAGTGATGCTTCACTAGCAAAGGCTAAAAACGAAAGACATTGCCATGAAGGAGACATACCCCTGAATTCGCTTTCAACAAGATTAGGGAAATTCTGGGCAAATTGATTCAAGCACTTTAAAACCTAAGACGAGGAGACAAAAGGGGTATGATATCAGAATTCAGTTGCTTGATATGAAGAACATAGTACATCGAAAGACAAGTCAACCTCCATTCTGAGACTCCAATCATCAGGATCCTCAGGTTGCACAGGATGTTCAAAAATAAGTGAAAATTGATCCATCCAACCCTTTAGCACTGGCATCACTAGATCCATAGTTTCTGACTGAACATAGACACTTACATTTGTCAATTGATGGCTGAAGAATGTATTCGAGCAAACATCAAAATTTACACATAAAACTAAGTTTACCAAACCAATACCTCATATACTCCACTCATTGCTCCAAGAACAGATACGCAAGAATAAACAATTTGAAGGGCTTTTCCACGCAGATATGTGTCATAGCTCTGCATACACAGACATATAAATATCTTTCAAATCTATAGTAGCAGGTTTTATAACAGCCACATCTGCTGTAAATTCCATTTGATAGTCAAACAATTAAGAACTATGTCACAAACTCACTTAAACACTAGTCTGATACTATCAAAACCAATCACTTGAGGAAACAAACCTGAGGAGAGGATACGACTGCATGCAAGCAAGGAAACAGAACTGGTACCAGAGACGGCACCACGTTATCATCCAAGTCACCAGAGAGAAGAGCAAGGCACCTTAAAGCTCCATTCACTACAGAATGTGGCAAGACAGAACCAGCACAACAAAAATCCTCAGGACTGTTCTCGATGAAAGGGTAATGACATGAGAATAAACTCACCCCCATTAATGTTGTTGCGATCATTAATCAAACCCAAGATAAATGGCAACAACTCAGGCCACTCTTCAGGCCAATCATATGTAGCAATTGATGCTACAGCCATACTGATAGCCGTACAGATTTTCCTATTTGAGTCATCAAGTGAGGACAAAAGGAGTCCACGTATAACAGCCTGATAACATAACCAAAAGGAATAAAGTGAACTCTCGCAACAGAATATTAAGACATCAAATCAGGGACATGCAATGACCTTTTCCTCACTCGAGACAACGGGATATTCAAAACCCTCCTCGTCCTCCCGCCAGTGTCTCTTAATGAATTGCTTTAATAAAACCGCAGCTAGGTAACCACAAGTTAAGTCCTTCTTCCACGATACCAAAAAAAAGCATACAACTTCGTTATATTAAAAACGAGGGGGGTTGTAGTGAGAAGAAGGAAGATCTTTTTTGCGAAAAGGATATCTGTCGCATTCCCAAAGAGAGCCCTTTGTTGGCTGCAACATTGCATAATGCGGCGCCAAATCCTACAAGAAAAAGGGAAATCAATTCAGAACCTTAGCCTTCGTTTATTATCTTCTACACCCAAGACCCAGAAATAAAGACAAACAAGAACAATGGTTTGTTCCTCGTTTTCAGTAAGAAGTCGGGCAAACCCATCGAATGTTCAACTCTCACTCCAAGACAAGCATTCATTCATATAGATTATCAGAAGGGTTCACTGTCCGTAAGACACAAAATAAGTACGAAATTCAGAATCAAAATCAGACAAAGGAATGTCTTTGACAAGAACCCAATAAACGATGTCGCAGACCTGGTTGACGAGAGGCTTGATTGAGTGAGGCCTCAGCATAAGAACGAATGTCCTGGATGGGATCGAGAGTTGCAGACAAGCAATCTAGAAGCCATCGCTGATCTTGGTCGACCACCATAGCCGTACTTTTACCAAAACAAACAAAGAAAGAGAGAACAAGCCCTAATTCCAAGATCGGATGAAGGGTTCTGGAGTAGTGAGATTCTCTTGCTTTCCGAATTTTCCCGCTCTCCTAAAGAACGTTCGAGCGAGACTGAACGTAGACAGCAACCCCAGCCTTTGATTTGGGGCCTCTTATAAAGGGGAAAATGGAAAGAGGCGACAGTGACAAAAATGTAATTAACCTCAACAAGACGCCGTTAAATTATGTCTAAATCAGACCGAACCGAGTTTTGCCGTTGGTTTTTAATTGGTTTTGATTTATTTTGGTCCTCCGTTGAATTATCCTCCAGAAAATTGTAATCTCCATAAACAAAACTTTAAATATATGTTTCATAATAAATATAATGGCATTTTTATAACCCTTAAAATAGTAAAATTGTTTTTTTTCTAATGATTATTAAAGTTGGAATTAGCGACCGGTATGAACTAAACCGGAACAGGGTTGAAACGATCACCAAGAGTGGCAAAAACGAAATTAATTCAAAATACATGAACTTTTTTTGTAACATTTGATCTCTACACAAACACAAAACGAGAGCTGAGCTAAGGAGATAAATCTGTGACAAAAGTCGCGCTTTTTGCTTGGTTGGTGACTTCGTCTTCTCCATGCGTATCCTCAAAAACCAACATTACCAAACTAAGAGGTTCCCCGATGAAGGGGTGTGCTTCTGGTTTCGCCGTTAATGGACAATAAGGTTCGGCATCTGCTTTCTTCTGCCTCCTGTTCTATCAAGTTTCAAACTTTCCGTTGTGGTTTCCATCATTAGAGGCGAATCCATGGCCAACGTAGAAGAAGATGACCAGTTATGGAACAGGTCGAACACCCATTGTCCGAACCAGAAAAAAGATGTGAAGTAGGGTCAGACCTATCTGTAAACTCTTAGGCTTTTTTCTTTATACTTTATAAGTATATGAATATGAGAGGAGAGGAAGAGAAATACTCAAAATACTCCTTTATATTTCTTTTCTTTTTCTTGTGTTTTGTTGTTGTTATGAAAACAACTCAAACTTACACATATTTATGCTACTCTTAGGAGGATTCTAGAAACTCTTAATAATATCATAAAATTAACTTAGTGTAGAATTCTAGGAATTTCTTTGAACACAAAATATCATGTGTGGACTTTGAACACAAGTCCCTAGAATAACCACATGGTAGAACAAGTTTATGTTCCAACAGTAGTCCCCCTTAAACTTGTTCCTTCTCAAACGGTGACTCTGAGTTGCTTCCAAAATGCTTGTAACTTATCCTTCACTTTGATCCACTTCCTGTTATCTTCTTCAAATCCAGTAGATAGACAGAAATTAGTAAACTCATCGTCAAACATAGATTCTATCGGTTGAGTTGTATCATAAATCTCCTGAATACTCTTCATCTTTCTCACGGGTGCACTACAAGAAAATCTTAATATAGCGACGGAATTTGCGACGGAATTTTTATGTCGCAAAGAAATTACGACAGAATTTGACGAATTTGCGACGGAATGCGAAAATTTTTATTCCGTCGCAATTAGTCGCAAAATCCGTCGCAAATTTGCGACAGAATACGACGGAAACGTTGTCGTCGCAGAACCAAACATTATTTGCGACAGAAATTTTAAAATTGCGGATTTGCGACAGATAGTTCTGTCGCAAATATTAATTTTATTTATTTTTAAATTAAAGTTATTTATTTTTGGGATTTGCGACAGACTTTTCTGTCGCAAATCATAATTTCATTTTTTTATTATTTTCGATGAAAAATTTCAAATTTTTGCGGTTTATTTTTTGTTTTTCGACGGATTTGCGACAGAAATTTCTGTCGCAAATCTAAATTTTATTTTTTCCGCTATTTTCGATGAAAATTTTTAAATTTTCGCGGTTTATTTTTCGTTTTGCGACGGGTTGCGACTGCAATATCCGTCGCAACACTTAATAAAAGCTGCGACTTCGTCTTTCTCCTCGAGACTTCGAATTTTTTTTAAAAAAAATCTCAATCTTCTCCAATCTTCTCCAACAAATTGTTTTTCTTCAAAATTCGCCAAGGTATGTGTATATATATCGTGTATATAGATTTGTATATGTATGTGTTGTGTATATATATATATATATATATGTGAATGTGAATATGTTATGTGTATGTGTGTTTGTATATGTGTATGCGAATGTGTATGTGTTTATGTATGTATGTGTATGTGTGTGTGTGTTTATGTATGTGTGTTGTGTATGTATGTGAATGTGAATATGAATGTGAATATTTGTGTATGAATGTGTGTTTATGTATGTGTGTGTATATGTATATATGTGTGTATGTAAATATATGTATATGAATATATGTGTATGTATATATATATGTATATAAATTTATGTGTATATGTATAATTATGTGCATATGTTTAATATATATGTATGTGTATGTAAATTTATGTGTGTATATATGTGTATGAATGTGTGTTTATGTATGTGTATATGTGTATGTATATATATGTCTATATGTAAATGTGTATGTGTATGTGTATATATATATATATATAAATTTATGTGTATATGTGTAATATATGCGTATATGTGTATGTGAATATACGTATATGTGTGTATATGTATAATATATTTTTTATATTTTTTTTTAATTAAAAAAAAATATTTGCGACGGATTTTTCTGTCGCAAATCCGTAGTAAACGTAGATTTTTTTATTTTTTTAAAATATTAAAAAAAATAAAATCTGTCGCAATTCTGTCGCAAAACTCGGATTTGGTCCGTCGCAACTTTGCGACAGATTAACGACCGGCAAACTTTTGCGACAACAATATACGGACAGAAATAATTCTGTCGCAATCTGTCGCAAATTTGTAATTGCGACAGATATTCTTTTGTATTTGCGACAGATTTTTCTATCGCAAATTTTGATGTTTCTTGTAGTGGTGAGTTACTAGAATCGCCGCTATCAAAACGGTTCTGGATAACTCGGGATGGTGAATTCTCCTCAACTTCTTCGAGAATGATCTTTTGCGATTGACTGCTCTCATTCCAATCCCAACTCTTCTCCTCATCAAACTCAACATCTCGAGACATTATGATCTTGCGAGTGTCGGGATTATACAACTTGTATCCCCTGCAATTTTCACCATAACCCAAAAATATGCATTTCTGACCTTTATCCTCAAGCTTTGTTCGCCTTTCTTCCTGCACTTTTGCATATGCCACACACCCGAAGATTCTGAGATTATCAACCTTCGGCTTTCGTAAGCTCCAAGCTTCCTCCGGTGTCATGTCTTTGATTTTCTTCAATGGAAATCTGTTCAACAAATAAACAACACATGCAATAGCATCTCCCCAAAACTCCTTAGGGACTTTTCTCTCATTAAGCATACATAAGACCATATTCAGTATAGTCATGTTCTTCCTCTACGAAACTCTGTTCTGCTGTGGTGTTTGAGGCATGGTAAGCTGATGAGAAATCTCGTGTTCCTTGCAAAAATTCTCAAACTCATTTGATGTATACTCTCCTCCACGATCAGTCCGCAAGTACTTGATTGGGCATCCACTTTGTTTTTCCACCATACTCTTAAACTCTTTGAATTTGGTAAAAACTTCTCTTTTCTCCTTGAGCATATAAATCCATGTCTTTGCACTGTAATCATCAGTAAATGTCAGGAAATATATATCGATTACCTCCATTCGATGTGGGATTGATGGGTCCACAAACATCCGAATGCACCAGCTCAAGGGGACATGCCGCGCTCCATGACTTGTATGTCGGAAACGACTTCCTTTGCTGCTTTCCCATAACACAAACTTCACACAGATTGTTAGGAGCTGCAATCTTGGGTAACCCAATCACCATATCCTTCTTCTGAAGTAATTCTAATGCCTTAAAATTTAGATGCCCATATCGAAGATGCCACAAAGTTGAATTATCTAGAGTCGTTACCTTCAAACACCTCGACTCATTAAAGCTCAGTCTCAATGGAAACATTCGATTCTTCGTCATCTCCACGGTTGTGATCATTTGGCCATTTTTATCTCGCATGGTTAGACATATTCTTCAACCTTACATCAAAACCTTTCTCCAACAACTGACCCACACTCAACAAATTACTTTTAATATCGGGAACATAATAGACATTCGAGATGCAAACCTGTCTCTTGTTCGGGAAGGTCAGTGTGATATCACCTTTTCCTTCTATCGGTCTTTTTGAACGATCACCAAACGTGATATTACCAAAACGTCTTTCGTCAAGCTTCCTTTCTTCCGCACATATGATTCGATGCTCCCGTGTCGATAAACCATGTAACAGACGGTTTCGACTCATTGCTTGGCCCGACCTCATTTTGGGATAACATCAGCACTTGTTCTGCCCTATCATCTTCTTTTTCCACCATATTAGCTTTCTTTCCACCATTGTTATCGGGATTATGCCAACATTCATAAGAGTAATGACCGAACTTCTTACAAATATGGCATTGAGTTCCGGATTTGTCATACCTTCCTCCATTGTTTCTCGGATTATGCCAACAATCATTAGAGTGATGGCCATATTTCTGACAAATGTCACACTGTATCATGGACTTATCGTATCTCCCTCCATTGCTTCTTTCAAATCCACGACCACGACCTCGGTTCCAGCTTTGACCTTGGCCACCTTTTCCACCACGACCATACTCAGCTTGATTTTCTCCATAATCGTTATGGTTGTTGGTTGGCACCCGATAATTTGATCTAGGACCACCTCGTCCGTAATTTCCACCTCTTCCTCTTCGGTGTTGATAACCTCCTCTTGAATTTTCGATCTTCAAAGATAGCTTCGCTTCTAGCGCATGCTCAATGGATTTTTCTTCTCCTTTTCTCCGATTCAGTCTGTCTTCAAACGCTTTCAAAGAACCAAGAAGTTCTTCCACCGTCATCGTATATAGATCCTTCGATTCTTCAATCACAACGGCCACGGAATCAAATTTTGAGTCAAGGGACCTCAAAATTTTCTCCACGACCCGAACATCCTTCAACGTCTCGCCATTTGTCGACATTTGATGAACAATGGTGATTACCCGTGAAATGTAATCCGAGATCGACTCAGAATTCCCTTGTTGTATACTTTCGAATTGCGATCGTAGAGATTGCAACCGAATCTTCTTCACTTTATCGACTCCTTCATAAGATTTCTTTAAAATTTCCCACGCCTCTTTGGACGTCGTCGCCGAGGCAATAAGCTCGAACGTTACTTCATCAACTCCTTGATATATTGTGAACAACGCCTTCTTCTCTCTCTTTCGTAGATCTTTGTGATTCTCCTCTTCATTCTCTGGTATTGTCTCCGATTCGACATAACCGTTCTCCACCATGTCTCATACATCAAGGGACCCGAGAAGAGCCTCCATTTGGATACTCCACCTACGATAGTTGTCTTTCGTAAGTTGCAGAACTTGCGATTGGATCGAACTCGTCGATGCCATGATATCCCGGCTCTGATATCACTTGTAAGCTCTTAGGCTTTTTTCTTTATACTTTATAAGTATATGAATATGAGAGGAGATGAGGAGAAATACTCAAAATACTCATTTATATTTCTTTTCTTTTTCTTGTGTTTTGTTGTTGTTATGAAAATAACTCAAACTTACACATATTTATACTACTCTTAGGAGGATTCTAGAAACTCTTAATAATATCATAAAATTAACTTAGTGTAGAATTCTAGGAATTTCTTCGAACACAAAATACCATGTTTGGACTTTGAACACAAATCCCTATAATAACCACATGGTAGAACAAGTTTATGTTCCAACACTATCAACCATTACAGGCTTCATCTTGGAAATCCATGTTCTGTTGGCTCGGACAATTCCTATTGCTCTTCGGTCCCATCCATTCTATCGGTCAGTGGTGAAATTTGTTCTGAAAGTTCAGTCGTGGATCCCCAAAAAGGGCCCACCGGACTCGTTGTCATCTTCTATATATATACTTAAGTTCTGTACCTGTGGCTTAGACAAAGCAAGTTAACAGTATCTTCTCTTGCCCATGACATGGTCAAAGTCAAAACTATCATTGTAACACACTTGTTCATATACAACAGGAATATGTTTGCGACGACTTGACTTGTGTATGTTTTCATGGTAAGTATACGATATCTAATGCTGTATATTCCATGGTAAGTATACATTAAAATCTCCAAACCGTTTCAATGATTTGGCTTTTACCATATATATAAACTTGGCAAGACAAATTCTGTCGCAATATATCGAACATTTTGGTTTGATTAGGTGTTAGATTTGCAATCTTTCCACGTTATTGACAGCGACATGGAATTTCTGCTGCACATTCTCTTCGTCTTCTTAATGTCATTCTCCCAAAAGCTATGGAGACTTGACGGTCCAGTCCACGGAACCCTACCATTTCGATTCTACGCATCCACGTTACCGTTCGCCATGCTGTTGATAAGGTATGGTGTTCATCTCCGCCGCCAAAACCCGATAGTCTCCGGTTGTCTTCGGTTTATGGGTTTCGGATTAGGTTATTCTGTTTTGTTTGGGTATTTGGCTTGTCTTCTTCCGGCCACTTTCGTTCCGGTTCCCTTGTTCTGCTTCTTTCTATCTATGCTTCTCCATCTGTTACTCGGTTGATATCTTCATGTTCCCCAATTCATATGCAGAGAAATCGATAACTGTTTTTATTTTTGTTTTTAACTAATAACTGTTTTTGTTGATTCTTCTTCTTTCCTTTTTGGATCGATTGCATGCTTGATATGTCTCTTTTGAATGTTGGAAGATATTTCGAGATCTTGATATGTTATCTTTTTTGTACCGGGAAAAGGAGGAGCTTTGTGTTACATCAAGTTCAATTCCAGATTCATTAATCATCTTTTTCATTTGTTGCGGCAACATTGTTATCTTTTTTCAGTAATTTTATCCTTTTGAACTATACATATACATATATATATATATAGTACATGTATGATGCGAAAGACGGCCGAGTTCAACAGATCCACCGCTACTTTTGTCGGACCGGAATGAAATTGTTGTTCAAAATTTGTGGCTTAGGTGCGGAACAAAGTTTAATATGCAGTACATAAAGGATAGCATTATAATTTACTGTAATTTGGGCTTTCTCTGAGTTTGTCTCTATATACTCGATTGTAGCTCTAACTATTTATCGACCAATAAATTACCAATCACGTTAATGTGTGGTGGTGTACGTATTTGTATAAATATTGAAAGTAAGAGAAGTTTGGAAACATCAAAAGCTCACCTTTGTTGGGGAGATTATTTAGCAAATTAAATAATCCAAATTATAATTTTCTTCGCAATAAACGTTTTTTTGGGAGATAATCCTGTTAAATATGGATGTAGAAAAATGTACTTAGAAACTAAACGACCAAAATTTATTTATTTATTTTATCAATATCTTCATGGAAAGGTATTATAGTAAAATCAAAGAGACGAAAATTAGTAAATCCGACAGGTATAGTTGAGATAATCTAAGGTATTATTGACGTCTAATGAATTAAATGAATACAGCATTTTATTTTCTTGGATAAATATGTTAGATTATTTCCACTGTATTATATAATTTCATCAGAAATGGCGAGGAAAATGCCATGGGCGGGTTCAAGATTTTGAATCCGTCAAATGTCAATGGGAGTGACAAAGATATAAAGAGTTTAATTTAATTCTCAAATATCAGAATATGTGTTTGGTTATAGACATGTCTATATAAATGTTTAATCAAAGCCCCACATTCATAAATAATTGCATACTTATTACAATATATACTCCCATAGTCTCACGTATATCTCAAATTTATATTATTTTATAAGAAAGTTGGAATAGAATCAATTTGTTGTCCTCGTTATTGGTGAATAGTTATAACCACTGGATTTTTTTTTTTTCGGTAACCTACCATAGGATGATTATATTGTCTTAGCATAAATACGAATTTAAGCACTGATATTTATGTTCCACTTGATGAGAATCGAATTCTACATGTTCGCCCCTAGCAAAAAAAAAACTACTTTTGGAAAAATGGAAAAAAAAAATGATTTTTCTATGCAACTAAGAAAGGTGGACACTTCAAGGATTTAAAAAATATAATTTTTCTTAATTTTTTTATTGACAATGATATAAAAGTATTTATATACATAAAAATTATTTTAAGTATGATACTAAACCTAATCGGATAAAAAACTGAAATATTATCTCTAAAATAATAATATGTAGATGACAACCTAATATACGCTGATTTTTATTAAAAATTCTTACAATAAGGAATATAAAATTCTTGCTTGCCGGAGAAACCATTGACTTTGTCTAATTGATGCAAGTGGTCTGTCGAAGGCCACGTTATCAAATAAATAATATTTAACAATGATATCAGTGGCGGACTATATATATAAGCAACAGTATAGAATCAGGAAGCAGATCTTCTCGGTGGTACAGAAAACTCTCATTTAAATTGGTTTTTCTCGTCAGAAGAAAAACCATGGAGATAATATCTTCCAACAGATTAGAGATTGCACGATTCCTTGTGCTTTTGGTCGTCGGAATCGTCTTCACGTTATCACAAATCCCGTTCGAGAAGGTCGATGGAAGTCTCTTGCCCGCCATTATATTCAGAGAAAACCCTAACTTGTTCTGCGCTTTCATCCTGTCTGTTAATTTCATGTTGTTTGGTTCTGTAACTTCGATCTCTCTTCATGAACGTTATCCAAAAGCCTCATCGTACTGTCTTCTTCTCGGCGTAACGGCCACCGCCTCAGCTGTAAGCATAGTTCTGCTCTGTCTGGCCATGCCCTCTGTCGCGAAGTTTCTCCTGCTGGTCACGAGATGCAGAATGTTCGCCGATGAATGATGATAATTTTTAGTTATCTATTTCCTTGAATCCCTCTGGTGCGTATTAAGGTGGTTCATACGTGTGTTTACATGTATATACACGCGTCCTACTGATTCATTGCCTGTATAATCGAACTTTAGCTTGGCCGTTCAGAACATTAATTAGAATATATATATATATATATATGTATGTATGTATGTATGTACCTCACTTTTTGCGTGAGCAAAGGGATAAAAAGGGTATTTTCATGTGAATTATATTTGTGTAATGTTGATGTATTGTATTGCCAATAAGCTAATTAATTTGCATGTAACGTTATTAATATAATGTATGGTGTGGTTTGTTTCAATCACGTAGGGCAGAGCTAAAAGATGAAGAGATGTTACAAAATCTTAATGCAATCGTATTAAACATTCATAAGATTCCATTAAACGGGGCTTTGGATTTTCACATATATAGCCTACATGCACCAAACAACGAGAAAGATAAAAAAATTCTGGCGTATTCACGTTCTTCAGTTAGAAGCAACACGTCCGTATATATTAATATTATAGTTACAAACTAACCTGCCTTAAGCTGTAACTAAACAGATCATTAATACACCTAACCAGCTTCGTTTTTTTTATGTGTGTAAAGCGGCATTATATCAAAAATACACTCCGTTATTTTGAGTTCAACGTATATCTTTCTCCAACTGTGACTCTTTAATTCATGTGACAAAAATATAGTCTGGTCAGACTAATTCATTATGTTCATCTCTAACATATTTCACTAATCATTTCATAAAAACATTATAAATTACACGTTATGACCAATAGGACCAACATGTGATTAGATTATATTTCTGATCACGTGAGCCAAAGAGTTACGGTTAGAGAAAGGTATGTCTTGAAATCAAAATAGCAAAGATATGTTATTTTTAATTAATAATGCCCGTGTCAATCTTCGTTAAATTGAGATCAATTGATAAGGTCATTTAAAAACCAAAAGGTATATACTAATTAAGGAGATGATCAACAGCACAGTCGAATTCTGGTTTACTAAAGAACCGTACAGTTTTTTAAAGTTTGGTTCCCAAGATTCTTGTCGGGTCAGTAAACCTTCTCTTAATTATGAAATGTTAACCTATATTGAAAAAAACAGTAGTGTTTAACTTTTCAAATTTATATGCTATACCAAAATAACTTATATCAAAATGATTTTTTTTTAAAGGTGAATAAGAAGAACCAGAAGAAAGACCGATTATTGTCGGAATCTCTATCAAACGTTAGTGTTACTTGATGCTTCCTTCGAGGTCATACGTCTTGCTCTAATGAACGCGGTTTTCTCTATGAAGAAGTCTACATATCTTGAGCCAACGTGTCCATTTATATATATGTATGTATGTATATATTATATGTCGTCATCATTTCTGCATACGATTCATATCGGATATATATGAAAGTTTCTACAGCCAACTTTTTTTTCCTTCTTTTTTTTTTAGGTCGTGAGTTCCTATCCTTGTGATGGCATATTGCGA